GCCTCAAACTTACTGGCGAAAGCGCGCCAACGTATACGAAACATCAGGTAAGGATAGTCCTAGACGAAGAAACAACTGCCTCGTTGTTCGCCTCAAGGACATCCTGGTCACGTAGTTAATCCAAGCATCAGGGACGGATTGAGTTGCTCCATTTTTTAGTGAAGACCACTTGTTCGATAGAACCAAAAAACCAAGATCACATGTGCTCCTCTTCAGTACGTGTTGCACGCCAAAAGACATCAACCATGCATTCATGAATGAACATGAGCGTCTTCATCGAGGATGGGCAAGTGAGGTATATCTTCGTCAAAGCTGTTGCTTCGGGCAACTTGTACACGCCACAAGTGCTGGCAACGTTTGCTACATTGGTACTTTGAGTCATCCCGGACGAGATCGCGATACTTAGCAGACAAGTGGCACAGATGATCAAACATAAACGACAGCATATTTAAACCTTTATTTCTACAAACGGTTACGGTCATCGATCCCAATCCGAGAAAACACTTCGGATACCTTGTAACTCACAAATAAAATGGCCCAACATGTGTGGCGCAGTGCAAGCATACTACCAGTACTCGGGTCCTTTCCAAAGTGGACTCGAATGTGATCGCATCCCTTTCTAATGTTACTGAAGCACAGAATTAAACTCCTTGAACAAGTCTGAGAGTCGTGTTTCAATTATGAACTCATCAGAGTGATTTAGGCAAAACGTTGGTGTGCGGAAACTATGAAGACAATAAGACCATCCGGATGGCTTACGAGCCCGTATAAGTGGGATTCGGAACTCGCGCAAATTCATATGATAAAGCGGCAAGCAACAGACAGCTCTGCGGAGGGATCCATGAACACCCGTTTGCTTTCGCACGCCTGTATATGTGGTTCACAAGAATAACGTACGGAATTTCGACCTTAGTTTTTCTCCAGTTACTCGGCATCAGAGAAACATGGACGCCGGATAAAACAGCCAGATATTCAATACATTCTCGAAGTCTATCGTTGAAAATACCATAATCCGTTTAGGCTTATAGTTGCGTTCATCATGGCTAGGCGTATTGACAGACTCGAAACAAAGTAGGAGGGGTTCATTTAAATAGTGTTATCGGTTGTTCTACTTACCTTCATAGTTCCATCGGACTAGACTTCAGAATACTCAGGTACTTTCACAACGACCATTACTATGGTTCAGAATAATTTAGGTGGGACTCGTGCCACCATGTTCGGCGCGAGTCAGGGAAGCAGGCTTTTAGTAAATCAACTATTCACCTGACTACTCATTGATTATACTTAGTAGTTTCGTTACGCAACACTTGCAAGTTTCCGAGTTAACCGAACAGATGAAAGTCCAAGTAACCTATATAGAAAGATCCACCATGTCCTGATGCGATAGGCTTACGCTGGACCTTATAAAACGCAAACGACGATGGTGGACAGAAGAGTCTGCTGTAATAGACCCATATAAAATGGGTATACAGTCTAAATTGTCTCTTGTTTGCTTGCGGGCAGTTAGAAGCGCGCGAGGAGACATGAGTGACGTTCATCTGATGTGCACCACTGCAGACTGACCCCCATAGGTCATTTGATAGTCTACTGTGATTATCTGATGTAATTATTCAGTCATATTTTTGCAAGTTGGTTGGTGGTTTTATCCTACGGGCTGCCCCTCTCGTGACTCAGTCTTGACACGGTTTTGTAGCCACACAAATGGAGCAGCACCGTGAGCCACATTTCGGTAGTTCTCACTTTAGACTTATCTCTAGGCACCCAATTTATTAGCGAAACTGATTCCACAGCACAGCGCACGTCATTCAATTATTCAGTGGAAGCTTACGATTGAGTTCAGATCAGGTAGAGTGCAAAAACATAACGTTCTGTTTCAGCGCGATTGGCGGAGCACAGTAATTGCAGAACACAATAGTATGACGATTCTTGATTCTAGGACGCAAATGTTTCAGCTGCAGCACCTTTTCAGTGCCCAACTACGATGTCACCTGAAGGAAGCATGAGGCCTCAGATACTGCCAGGTTGCCCAAGCCTAGACAAAGGAAGTCGAGAGGCAAATGTCGGGTTCGAAACACGGACCTTCCGGTCAGTAAATTTACGCTCTAACCACTGAGCCATCTCTCTCTTACATAGCCCTCAGGGTATGCTCTTTGAGGGGAATAGGTATCCTTGATCACGAACCCTAAAAGGCCTTATTTCCAAATACTACTTGTGCACGAGTATGCACGCGCAGTGAGTGATAACGATGACTTTTGCAGTGGCCCATCAATTATTGCAGACCAATTTGGTGTCATGAAAGCTGACTTTATTGAGCATTTTTTCTGCGACACGATTCCTGTAAAGCGGAATCAGAATACACGGATGATTACAACCTTTGCCAGTATGTGTAGTAACTTAGATTTTGCGGCGTAAAATGATATAAATGTCTGTCAGGAACCCAACAAGGTCATCTACAACATAAAATACTCAGGCGATGAAGTTATTATTATTACTTTTGATGCTTTCATAGTACCCATCATTAGATTCTGCGGATGACAAATCTGACGCCATTCGCATCAACGAAAACGCTGACATTGATAGACTCTTAAAAACGAAGTTTTGAGTAACTAATCTAATACTGTCAGTGCACTTGTCGCCATCAAGATTCTTGAGGAGAAATCCTTGGAAATTTCCAAAGCACTTTCAATAGAGGCGTCGACTTTCGCTATTTGACCGCAGTTTGTGGGAGGCGGGGTACTTCCTGCAAACTGATAAACAGTGCGGTATATGCGAACAGCAAGGAAACCCTTGTTCTTCAGACGAATGTGTTGCACATATGGCGTCTCATATTTCAGTTGGCAATTTGCAAACGAATGCACTCCGCGAGTTGTGTGCAATTTGGGTTCAAGAGGAGCATAGGTTTGATGGATACTCGAGGGTCGCGTCTATCTGATGAGATTCAAGAAGGGTGAGACCGACCAAGGGCTGACGGATTTTTTAGCGAACACCTTAGCAGTAATTATCACCGAAGAAAGGGAATTCATGAGGTCTTCTGTGTATGTATGCGACGGTTTAAGTTGTCTTCATTCACCAATCAATTTTCGGTCCACTCGAGTGGTAAGTGAAGCCGAGCTATTCTGCTACTTTTTACAAAACATCACTTCAGACCATGGTCTCGGCCGTCTCTGAACAGAAGTGACGACAGTTCTCCATCAACGTAGTGCGATAGCGGCTTCAAACACATTGCTCATCGAGGAATGTCCAGGCTCATTTCGCACATTTTTTGACAAACTGCTCGACGTCAGGTGGATAAGGTTCTGCAGCCTAGGTTTTGATTCAACAAACTAATCGGATCAAGATAGCTCAGCAGTCAGCGCTCGAATACGCTGACCGCACGGTTAAACTGCTTTTTGACTACTCCCACACAGGATTGGACAAAATGGTAGTACCTAAACTCTCGTGCCCCTTACAGGTTGCACGCTGGCTCCATACAGGGTGCCACAGCTGGGCGATAAAGGTTTCTGTTTTATTTCAGTGTTTACCTGTGTAGGACCCAGACACTGATGGTACTTGGAAGAATAAACGGTTGTTGAAGTTGACAAGCTTCTGTGAAAAACGAATTCGCACGCCATCGTGTACGTTGTGATCAGCCATAACAAAACCTCCCGGAAGGATTCGGATAAAACCCAGTGGATCAACTACGACCGAGAATAACCGCCTTCAGAATAGTCGCATGTCTATACGTGAGAAAATATTTTCACGACCAAGTAAACTGGCTGAATATTGTTTTTTCTTCTCATGAGATAAGAGCTTGCTTTGTGAACTATTCGGCATCACTTGCGTCAGTAGATAAAATGGGCTTGGAATCTATCGGTCAAAAAAGATATCAGTAGCTTGTTGGACAGCACATCGACCAAAGTTGGTAGAACAGCATACCTGGAAGACAGGACAATCGTTTCACTGTAGCTTGGTTTTCGCAGAGCAATTTCATTGGTTTGCATTCTGGAGATCGAGGGCAACCAACTTTGATAACCTACTTAAAATAAGTGTGTTTAGACCGAATACACTGCTCACAAGGTTGATCAAAACTCTTCGCCGTCCACGATCGGTTTCGCCCTTCTTGGAGCTCATCAGGTAGGCGCAGTCCCGGAGTTTCCGTCAACATTGCTTTACCTGAACTCAAATCCGATAGATTTTGACAAATACTCTCATGTGTATACGAGGTTGACCTTGACGGGAGACTCACCTGGAACCCAACTGAAGCTCTCGTTTATAACATTCTTAAGCAACTGAATGTGCTACACCAAACCGCCTCATGTCTCAAATGGTATCATCATACACGAGAAATTCAGCTGGATCCAGTTGAGTCTCCAGACGAAACCAAGTTTGTATTTGTTGAATGGGCATTTCTCCACCGAATCTGATGGGCATATAAAAACGGCACGTTAACAGAGATGAGATCGATTTTTACGCACTGCATAAGCAGTGGATCGGTCGCTGTGCTCACAACGGTGTATAACAGAAGTTGACAACAGCGCGCAAAATAATTCATACATTAGGATGTACGCCTATATACTATGAGGTTCACTCGCAGGGAGCAGATAGAGAACAGAAAATGAGTGCTAGATATGGCCGGTGTGGATTGAAGCCAGTATGCCGCTGCGGACTCGAAGTCTCCGGAACACCAACATTGTGAGAGGTGCTGAGAAACTCAGTGACACGATCTGGCGTCCACTCGGTAGAAACAGAGTAGCTGATCCGTAAAAACAAGTATCCGAAAACTAGAAATGAGAACATTATGCTGCATAGAGAAACGGCATACACGCATTCTTTCCTATGGTACTCTTGACGAGCTTTTAGTGGTTTTCCTTTCAGCTGTTGCAAGAATCAATTAACCATATTTCTTCTCCGGCGCGAATAAAACCAATACCTGACAAAATAAAAGTCATTTATCGTAAATCACATAGATATCTAAGAACAAAATACATGGTAGGAGTTCTTATACATGGGGGAATCTAGTTCACTCCATCTTTAGAATAATCTTCTTCCTTATACCCGTGGGTCCGGAATCACCAAACTGGGAAAGTTCAATCGCCTTTTTCCAGTCGTCGAAAGGAATGTCCATGAAAGGCGACGGTCGAATAAGGTTTTTAGTGAACCAATCAGACAATTGTCTGTACATCAGCCCCACGCGCGATGGATGCTCCTTCTGTATCCAAGCTGACATCCAGAACCCCCGGAGTCGCAGATCACGAAATATAAGAGGACCGACGGGAATGGACATTGGATTACGGGACATACCCCCGTAGGAAACCAGAGTACCACCTTCAGCAAGCGCTTTGAGTAGAACAATAGCGGATTTCCCACCTAGACAATTCAGTGCCAATTTGACTGGGCCAGAACTTTTGGCTTCTGCTACTAACGGACTAGTACTGTCAGTCCATTCGGATTCCGTAAAAGCCCACGTAGCGCCATAATCGATTAACAGCTTTCGTGTTTCTTCGGTTGCATCAGTGTTAACTCTCGGTCGGAACAGATTGACTAAAGGAGGGAGAGGTGACGAGTTAGCCAACAGAATCACAACGCACTTGTCTGGTAGTCCAAGAGTTTCGCTATTTGTATGGCGTAGATACCAACGGCACTGGTGGCACCGTTTTGAATTACCACACCGCCATTTTGAAGCTGTGTAAAGTCCGATAATAGACGAACTGCTGTCCCAGGATTTGTTCTGAATACTGCAGCGTGGGAAGTAGGCATTGAGTCCGGAAGGCGATAGAAAAAGTCGGATTTGGCGCAAACGTGTGTTTGCCAGGTACCGGAAGACACTCTGGTTGGGATGACAAGGTCACCAATTGCAAAGTCCTTAACATTGCGTCCTGTGGTGATCACCTGCACAGCAAGCGGGTTTACAAAATGGAAGAGTGACGAACGAGCAAACGTGATCTATTCATTGAAGTTAACAGTGCAACCCGCTTCAGCCAACGAAAGTGGATGCTGATAGGAAGAAACGAGGTTGCCTAACAAATTGGTTTGGTAATTCCCTACCAATCAACAAAATAATTCTTTAATTACTTGAGAGAAAAAGGTAGTGTGCTTCAGGTTCGATAAAATTTGCACTTCCTAAATACAGTGCTAGTATGTACGCTTTTGGGCAATCGGTGTTCATCTGCTTGAGTTTAGTAGGAGTAAAAGCACTAAATCAGATTTGATACCAGTTGCTATTGTATCAGATCCCAAAGACTCATTGCACAGACATAGAGAAACAATAAACGCTTAACTGATTGTCACCACTTTTCGCTTTTGACAGAAAAGCCTCGTCAGGCCAAGTCAGTGTGTAAGCAGGCCGATCGGGTTTTAAGGCAGCCAGAGAACCAATCCGTGGCCGACTTGATCAGTGCTGGGAGTTGATCTGAAGCTTTTGTTTGTTGGTTAGTGAGGATGACTTATGTTTACGATAGATTAGTCAAGGGGGAGGGGTTGTCTTCATGTTGCACCTGCATTTTTCGTCCTTGCCTTTTCAGTCTAGGTTACTTTAATGGCATATTCCTCTTGCGGATCGTTCACGGATTTTGTTTGCCTGTGTTCGTCGGGTGGGGGGTGCTGGGACAATTGGTTTGGGATTGGGGTGGTTGACTGAATCTTACTCAGCTTGGATTTTGTACTTTTAGACCCAGAACATTTTGCTGATAACTGCACACCGCCTCGTATCATCTCGGATGATATAAAACAGTTCTCCGCCCTCTATTCTATTTACGCTGGGATACTCGGTGATTTCCACCGTTTCGTCCACCAGTCACCGTGGTGTGAATCTGAAACCCCATCTCAGGATGCCCACATTTTCCAAATCCATCCTATGCCCAGTGTCTAGTGTATGTCCTACCATTTATGAATCTTTGACTATCGCCTGATATTCACCTATGTTTCTCGGTGGTCTATTATTGGACCGCTTATGCTCACCGATTCTGGTGTGTAATTCCCTGGCTGTCTGACCTATATGAAACTTCGTACAGTCGTTACATTTTATTTTGTATACACAGTTCCTAGTCCTATCAACCAGAAGGCGATCCTTCAACTGCACCAAACACCGAGCGTAAGGTCTTTCCCTTCTGGAACGCTACTCTAATGTTAGTCGTATTCAGTACCCTACTGGTGACTTCAGACGTACCTCTTTTGTATGAAATGATTGCTGTTCCGATCCACTCCTTGTTGGGCCTTGGTGTTGGCACCAATACCCGTCTTAGTTGCCGCTTAATTAAACCCACTAGGTATCCGCTATCTTGAAGTCATTGTTTTACCTCAAGCTGTGCTGCTTTTCGCTCGACCTCCTCTGTTCACAGTGCTCTCACCCTCCTAAACATCGTTAAAACTATTCTAGCATATGCTACTTTTGGATGTGCTTAGGAGTAGGTTAAGACCGCACCACTATCTGTTGATTTCCGGTAAACAGTGGTTTTTAATTTCCCAACACTCTTGTGTGTCATGCAGTCAAGGAAAGGTAGTGCACCATGATAAACTTAATGTGAGGGCCCAAAGTGTTCAGATATTGAAAGAATTCGTTTACCTTATCCCGCTTTATCACGACGAACGTGTCATCTACGTAACTCTCACCAAGGTCTATGGATAAGATTATCAATATCCCCCATTTCGGCCAACATATACATGGAAGACTAGGCAGAAAGCTTTAAACGGATTAGAGTGTCCACCAACGGTTTTCTGGCGTTACGTAGATGACACGTTCGTCGTGATGATTGACCAAACGTTTTGCAATCCATTGCTCGGTAGCTTTTTGTGTCTAGTCTTCGTGTTAATGTACGCGAAAATGTCGTGTCGTCCCTTATATTCATAAGAAACGCAGAACATTGAAATCGCAGTAATCCCTCTAAGGAGAAATCACTTTTCGTGGGAGCACCGGAACTTCTCCGATCGAATTGATCGTCTCTAATGTAACTTCTACCTCCCCAATTTTGCAGGGGTGATTTTAACACCTGATTAAAGGATATGAAGTCTATGCTGTGCAACAGAATACAGTGCAGTGAGGACCGGTGGCAATTCTGTGGAATGTAAGTTTTGGACGCCAGTCAAAACATAGGCTTTCGAGTTGCTAAAAAAATCAGCCTGGTCAGAGAAATCCAAATTCAGGTTCCTATTGTTACCGCTCGATAAGTGGGAAGGACAGCATCCGGCTGGAGTTCATGTTTTTCAAATGTTTCGGGATCACTATACAGAAATCCAGAAACGTGTCATACCTGTTTGTCCTGGAGTATTCATCTGCCAAGTTCTGAGAGAATGTGAGTTACGTGTGAATACAAAAAATACGCCACAAGACATTTGGCAAAGAAGAACGATGGAAAAATTGTATTTTTTTGGGAAAATAGTATAATGTGGTTGTTTTAACTAGAACTTGTACATATACAGAAGTGCGTAAAGCAGTAGCGTCTCGCACCTATTTATCTCTCCAATACACAGGCCTGCAAGAAAAGGGAGCAAGGACCGTGCAAACATTCAGGCGAAAAGTTGAAGAGACATAGCCTTATTCCCAGACCGTCCGGAATTTATCAACTCGCACATTTGCATCATCATAAGTGCATGTTTAATCCCCCAAACCTAACCACCAAAACAACAACCAAGCCAGCTTTGAAATGTCAATCAAAAGATATTACCTGTTCAGCAGAGGAGAACACGGCGTGATAAATGACCCTTGGTAGCGAGGAGCCGGTGTTGAGTGGACCACCCGATATTTCTTACCAGCCTTAGTAGATTTTTTGGGCCAAACGCTTTGGTTAAAGACTAGGTTCCGTATGATGATGGGTGCCAGTACTCAGTCGCCATTGGACATCTTCGTATTCAGTTACCCTCAAGTCTTGCTTTCAGTATCTAAACCCTTAGCCAAAAGCATTCTGGACATGTGTGTACGTTCGTTCCCCTTGTTGGACAGCTTGACTGTGACCGCCCATCAAACATTTTATCAATAATGCAGTCCAGGTGAAAAAAGAAGGCCTTCGCTGCGGAGTTATTTATTCGGAAATGCCAACTGACGGGTTACAGACCATTGAACAGGGAAGCAAAACTCTAATCTGCATCTTAGTTACAAAAACTGGACACAGATCTTCTCCCGAACGAGTCTTCCTAGAGATTCGTTGCCTCCACTCATTCGTCGGTCAAATCCAAGCAAATGTTACAAGGTGGCCCCACGAATTCCGCAACAGAATTCCCCTTTTCAATCGACGCAAAGCGAAATTCTACGAACAACACATACTACTCGCGTGCCTCCCTAATCAGTAGTATCACCGTTACACTGGTATACAAATAACGTTCACGTCACTGATAACCTAGGACGATCTTGTCACGCAGTTGTATGTACGCCAACCAATTTAGGAAGACCCTAGCTTTCCACCAGCGGTGTCTTGTACTGTACACCGAGTAGTTGAAGAGCAGATTGTCTTTTGAGGGACTCACCTGGAACCCAGCTGAATCTTTCATTTGTGACTGAATGTGCTGCACCAGACCGCCTCATGTTTCAGTCGCTACGATATTCGAGATATCACGCTACATGTATATTCATAATGCACCACTCATAAGGTTGCCGAAAATTCTTCGACAGCCCACTACCGGTTTCGCCCTTCTTGGGGCTCATCAGGTAGGCGCAGTCTCCGAGTTTCGGTCAACCTCATGTTCTATTTGACAAGTCAATCTATGTTGAAAGGCCCAGAATCACTGTACGACTGTTTGATCCTTATGAGGAATTATCAACAATGCGCATCCCGCGAAATTCAGAGTCCCGATCAATAGGTTGACCAATCAGTCGCTTAGCCACGAGCGGCTGAACAGCAGTGTAGTTAGCTCTCACGTAGACGTATGGCGCCGCTCATCCTTCAAGTACAGAAGGATACTTGACTCCTCGAGTGACGACTCCTCAGATGGAAGTTCCACTCATCTTGTTAAATCACCCTGTGCATCAATCTTGGTGAGTCATGAGCTGATCAGCGGAAACCCCCGACAACAGTGCGTAAACACGTTTTGAACGTGAACAATACATATGCTGTAAGCAGTCTTATAATCAACACTCCCAACCCTAGCCAAGGCCAAAGCGAGCCTGTGAAGTGTGAACCATTGGCAACTCTACTCGTTCTTTGTGTCTGCGACCCAGTGAATCGGTGGATCCATAACTCGGGCAATAGTGATGAATCAATTACAGCTCACAAATGTCCATTGAATGATACTATTTATTTTTACACTCAATGGTGGGAGGTGACAGTTTGGAGGTGTCATGGAGTAAGCGCTGGAACCTGTTTTCAGTCGACCTTAGAAGTGTCAGTGATATTATACGGGTGCCAGGGACTTCACCGTACATGCAATGTTTATTTAATCGGCATCTGACTTCCTGTCTACCTTTTTCAATTGATCAGAGGCAGGGCGTGTCACCAGGGTCTGAAACATTTGTGCACCGATCATTAGACATGATTGAGATAAGGGGATGGGTGATTCGAGCAAGACCGGCTTAAATACATGAGTCAATCGAACGTTAAGAATAAAGGGAGCATAATAGTTTGAGAAAGAAATCGGCAACAAAGTCTCAGGGTTGTTTTGTAGGAGACTGCGCGGTGAAACTGCGAGAGACAGTGCTTAACCACAGGGAGATTTGTGACCTAAGCGATTGCACAGAATTCAGATAGTCGGGAACTTTCTTGGTGGGATAGATTTGCCGTCATTGTGGTCCACAAATTTACCAGTCTAAAACATTATTCCAATATCACCAGCAGCCATAGCGATTGAATGAATGGACGGCATGTGTTTTCATGTTATGTTCGCCCAGGGGTAGGTCATAGGGCACGCTGGAATACTGTCAAACTCTCGTTACGAATAGTTTGACCACAGAACTGTCAATTCACAGGATAGGTTAACATCATTACACAAGTGCCAATTAGCTATGCCAAATACAAATCTATGAGAATAATAGGTTAAATTGACCGGATGGCCTAACATCTTGATTTCAGAGAGGGTTCTTTCAGAACTATTTTCCAGAACACTGCTCCACGAATAATAACGATAAAATTCTAGTATGCAACATGCAGAATACACGACAGGGGGCGTAAATGGGAAGGGAAAATAAGTCTCAACCATTGTTTTCTATAGACATACGTAAATATAGGTAAAACAGGATAAATTGATGGTGGTATGGAATTTAGTAATTTTCAATTGAGACGTCGCCCTACCAGTGAAGCCAACCTAAACTGAAAAGCCGAGAAACACTGTACGGCTGTTTCGTCCTTGTTGGGAATCACGAGTAGTGCGCGTCTCACGAAATCCCAGCGGGTCTCCAACCTGCAATTCCCCAGCCAGTGAGTGAACACCTGACGCTTCGGCCGTGAAGGGCTACACAGTAGTAACAGCGCCTCATAGAACAATCAATAAGCGGCTCAGAGGGGGAGTAATTTCACAAGATGAATGAAACTTGCACCTGAGAAATCGTCACTGGAGCCCGTCGATACCCGATCACATGGTTCCTGTGATTGGTAAATTGAGCGGGGCTATATCTTGTCTAAGTGATAACTAACCACATTGTTGTTCAGGTGCTCATGGCCCAATGGTCAAGTGTTCAACCAATTGTTTCATACATTGGTTGACCATCTGCTATACCATTGGGAGGAAGCACGAGACTGACATGCTTCCAGTTTGCCAAGGCGTATATAGGGGGAGTGGAGATGCTGAGGGTGGGTTCGAACCACAGGCCAGTAAGTCGCAATGAAGTTTGTATCAATGCTGTTGTTATTCCACCGACACAACTCTTACACTCCGTAATCAGCGTGTTTCAAAGGCCGCATGGGTGCGCGAACGTGACTTTCACCACATAAATAGCTAATAAGATTGACATAGGACAACTTAAGAACAAATAAGCGGTCACCTTTGACCGCACACCATATTTCACCATGTTCTAAACCACGTAACTCGGGTAGAACGGATGCTGGGGCTTCGCTTGGAATGTCTGCAATATATGCATAGAATTAGTCCTAATAGGCTGTGGACTGTGAATGTGGCGGGTACACTTCCAACTAAGGTTGCAACTGTCTACCGGAAAGACCATAATACATCAGGATTGCTGAATGCTACCCCAAAAGTTAGTGTCCAAAACAAATTATCACCCAATTGATTGCGGGTTAGTTGTATTTAGTTGATAAATTATGTTGAGGTTCCCGTGATAACAGCCGCTCAGATAGACATAATATAAGGGATTAATTTAGCAATAAAACCCCCAAATGGAACTACCTTGAAACGAGAGGATGAATACACGCAACATGAATGGAAAACAGTGAGCGGTAGGACTGTTGTTAGAGTCATATTCAGTTGTGTATTTTCAGCTATGCTATTTGTACTCGGACTACAGTTTAGGATTTGTAAAATTTACTTACACCTGGTAAATTAAGCAAATAAACTATTAATGACAAGGGGTACGGAAACTTTCATTCAGTCTGTCTTACATTGCTCTAGCGACCGAAAACAACTCGCACTGCCTTCTCGATGAACGCATTCTTAGATTTTCAGTGCCATTTTGAAAAATGTAGACATATGGACTAAAACCTCAGATAAAAAGTCAAAGCCATTCAACGCTCTCACAATATAATCAGGTTCAGACGGAGCTCAAAAAACTAGGATTTAATCTTACTGAGAGAGGCCGTTTCAAGATACGTACCGTTCAGGAGGGGAAGTAATAAGGCCTCAGTTCAGCAAAGGATGAGTAGATATACTGTAAAACAAGGTAGAAAGTCGACACAATCGATTATCGAAAACCGCCCTGATCAGGTTAGCATGCAGCTATGAAACAGAAACAGAAACCCCTCGGTATCGACATCATGAAATGAAACAAATGCCTGACTTACCCTGCCGACCCCCTCATTTCCAGCAACTGCCGGTAGTGGTGGTTTTATCGGGTAAACTCCTTGCACAGTATTAATATCAGATGGGTGAACAGGTGCTGCGCACATTTTTACCAAAATCTCGTCATCCGCTGGGTCGGACAAGGTGTGTTCCGACATGTTAAGAACAGCTTGCGGATCTCCATAGTTAGCGTACATTAGAGCTTTCGACGAAATCGACCTTCGACAAATCGCCAGTCCGACAAAGCGTGAGGGACACGAGGCAGAAAGCATGTTCCTAAGCAGAAAAAGTGGGTATCAATTTCAAAAGAGCAACACACAGCAGATAAGTGTTAACAGTGCCAAATCAATGATACTTAGTGACGTTTGACACTTCACACCATAAGGGTTATTCTGTTGACCGTATGCAGGGTGCACAGACAAGCTGTTGGCACTTGTCGTATTATTCCATAATGATGCAAAAGTGGTTGTCAGCTTTGTAGGTATGCAGGGTGCACAGACAAGCTGTTGGCGCAATCGATCCTTCCTTCTGTCGTATTATTCCATAATGATGGAAAAGTGGTTGTCAGCTTCGTAAATGTAGAGGTCAAGAAACTTCCCGCAGCTATCACTTGCGTCACGCACCAGGCTTATGAACCTCAACACATCAGGTCAAGTTGTACTCATGTTTGTGTAGGTATCAAACACGAAGGGACATCCCTCTCTGCACACCATAAATAGGCATACAACTTGGCTCAATACACTCGCGCGCACAGAACAGTAAGTCAACTGAACTCCACAAGTCTCCACGGATAACTACGGAGCACGTATAGCAGCTATACTACACAGAAGATACGTCCCGCGTCCGGAAACTCATTCTAAACAAGTGTCCTCAAACGACGTCACTTTTTGGCTTATTCCACTTTTCGCATTGTATCTATTTTTATCAAGTACACCTTACTATGGTATACATCGTCATTATGGTAAAATAAATTTGTTAGTGCTTGTCACCTGGTAATCAACTTAATTACGTTAGTGTAGCTCTGAGTCTGCCAAAGGCGATTCCTGACGCTCTAGATGCTCTTTCACAATGGGATAAGAAGTCGTATACCGTTGATGTTTGGGTGACATGAACGTTCAGTTAGGTAGAATAAACGCCGCTGAGGCCCAATTGGGTGGTCATCTTGGGTTGGATACGAAACGTACGGATAACGTAAATCCACTACTTCAGATAAGTGTCGATCACAGACTGCGGTACCAATTTCTGGAACAGCGGGAATCACTTGACAACGTCGTGCCCACCAACGAATCGGTCCAGAATCCAAATAAAACACATTGCAGTCAGTTAGCGGTGGCGAGCATCGATCATTACCTACCGGTCCTTCTGGAATACCAGTGTAGACTCCGACCATGTAATGGTGCGCTGATAATTTTCATTAGGTTTTTTCATATTTACACAAAGCAAGCACACCTCGCTTAGCCATTGGGAAGCCAATGGACCCAGAAATCAAACGAAACTTTCAGGAGCGGCTCCGCAAACGTCTGCCGGCGTTCGACTGATCCTCGAAACCTCTCGTCAGTGAAATAATCAGAAACCAAAATGGCTCCTTGACATGCAGCAAAGCAGAACTGTTGGACCGCTGGGCACGGTACTCTGAACAGCAATTTAGCTAGCTGCCTGCTACCTCCAATCCAGAATCCTGGCATCCAACAGAAAGGTGCACCGTGAATATGGAGCCGCCTTCAGTCTCAGAAGTGTCCGAGTGTATTTTCCTACGCAAGCGTAATCGTACTGCTGATCCTGACGACCTGCTCCTTTCTAGGATGGCGGTGTACTTCTCAGCCAGTGACTGCCTAGGCTATTTGGGTCTATCTGGGAAACCCCAGACAAGTGGAGTGAATCGATAGCAGTGTCCATTTTCAAAAGGCGTACTAGCAGTGAATGTAGTAACCAGAGGTTTTAGTTTGACTCTTGTTGTGATAAGGCTTCTGGCGCCAATGATTCTTCGTCGTCTTACGGTGGCACGCGAAAAATGGACTCGTAAGAATCAAGCGGGATTTCGACAGGGTGGAGGCTACGTTGACCACACATTCATACTACGTCAAGGGTTAGATCAACGCCACATGTACAGACAACCCACAATCTTGGTATCCCTTGACTTTGAGAGTGCGTTCGATTCTGGAGATAGGTCAGCGCTGTTAACCACATTTGCTCAACAGAGTATGTCCCCAGAAGTTTGTGAACATAATCCAATCTCTATAGTCACATACGCCTGGGCGGGTGAGAGTGCCCAATGACCTCTCCAAAAGCTTCTCTACAGAAAGTGGTATCTGACAATGATGTCCACTATTATCATTTATTTTTGAACAGCATGGTCACAAACATAAAAAGTGAGTGCAAGCGATGAATGCGAAAGAGTAACAGGAGAATATGGGAGAAAAGAGAGAAATGTCTCATTCGAAATCATGCCAAGGACAGTGCCAGTCTGATGAGGTGAATCCCAAAGTATGTAAAGATTTTGGTATGGGAACACGCGTCTAAGGACCAACAACCAAAGAAAGGACAAACAATGGTGAATGCTCTTCAAGGCGCAGTGTGCGCTAGCACAGTCAAGACTCGCACATCAGGCACAAAGTAACCGTCATACTGGGTCTGGTGTGAGATTAAATGGCAAAAATGTACCTTCAACGCCATGTGCCACGCATAAAAGTGTCATAAGTACGCAGGGAGCCCACAATGGCAAGCAAACACAAGTCGCTGACTGCGACCTTAGGAAGTCCCAGTCCAATAACAGCCTTAGCGGATTGAGGAAAGCAGATCCCTCGAAAGAGATGATCATCGGTTGGTGAACCAAAAAGTCGATATCACAACCGATGGAATAATGAGGCAAACGCTGGAAGGTGTTCAAAATCTTGGAATGCAGGTTGTTGCCGGTGAGAGCCTTCTCGATATGAAGTAAGAAGATGAAACTGTCTTCATCTTTGAAGGCCAAAGCGAAGCACAAGCCCTGTTGAATAGACTGACCCTGTGCTACGCATGTCGAAACACCGCCTCTTTCAGAATGGCGCAAGCCGTGAGATGGACAACACATGACTTGGCAGAAGGGCGTGAAAGCGATCACGAAGAGTTTGTGTTGTTAATGTTGTACGTCTTCCAGGATGGGGTCCCCGTGACCCCATGTCCGCTTGCAAAAAATGGTGGCTAAGCGATGTCCGTGGCGTTCGTGCTGTCAGTTCCTTCCCAATTTGTCTGATTAAGCGCTTGGAAGTGTAGGCACCTCAGAATGTTTGATATAGGCCAGCACTAAGACCCTCCCTCACCCATTCTTTTTCCCTTCTTTTCAATCTAGGGCTTTAAATATAATTAGACGAACCTTATAGCCGACGGCACTGTCTCACTACCCGAATTCATGGCATCTGATCAAATGAATGCAGTGTCTAATTAGCTGGTGTAAAAAAAGAAAGAAAGCGTTCAGCTGTAGCACCCTTCCGGTGCCTAGCTGCCATGCCACCCGAAGGAAGCACGAGGGCTGGGATACTGCCAGGTTGCCCAAGCCTAGACAGGGGAAGTCGAGTGGCGGAGGTCGGATTCGAACCACGGACCTTCCGGTCCGTAAATTAGCGAGGGTGTCGTGCCTACGACAGAACATGCGGCAGCCAGGTAACTGTGGCATCGAATATGCTCTCCAGTCTTATCATTCGAAGGTTGACTGAACACAGGGAGAGAAAGATTCGTGAAGACAGAGTTGGGTTCCGCCCTGTAAGAGGACACATGGATCAAATCTTCACCCTCTGACAGACTCTGGAACAGAGTCTTCCAGAAACTAACAGTGGTTGCGTTTCTTGACTTGAATTCTGCCTTTGACTTCCTGGGCCGTCAGGTATTGTGGCAGTGTCTATGGAACAAAGGTGCCCGCCATAAATCTTTGACCCTCCGTAGGATGCTGTCCGCCAATTCTAGCGGACGTGTTAAGGCCTATGGGACGCTCTAGCCTGAGTTCACCATATCAAGTGGTGTCCGACAGGGCTGTCCTCTTTCACCTTTCCTCTTCAACTTCGTCATTGATACGATTATAGAAAACTTACTATCAGCCTCTAATGCATGTGGGGTCGAAGTGCTTCCGGGGCGACCGCCCATAGATATCGACTACGCAGGTGGCATAACTCTTTCCGGATCTGACTCCTTGGTAACGCCAACAGTATTAAATAATCTAAATGATTCCGCTTCACAGTTTGACACGAGCTTCATACCTGCAAAGTGTAAAGTACTGTCGCGAAATTGGGTAGGTTCAAACCCATGCTTGCGGATGAGCCGATTGAGGTAGTAGACACATTTGCCTACCTGGGCAGCTGTATCAGTCCTGGTGGTCTCGCGAAAGATGATTATTCCATCCGGACTGGGGGCTTTTGTGAAACTGGATTCACCTGTGGTGCAGACGTGACATAAGCTTATCTGTCAGGGGTTGAGTTTACAACGCTGTACTGCGCTCCATATAACTATACGGATCAGAAACCTGGCCGCTGCACGAAGGACGTCAAGACTGTTTGACTGTTCGGACCATTGATCGAGTCTGTTGGGAACACCGGATCAGCAATGCTGAAGTACGTCGAATGGTTTAAGGGAGAAATATCTAACCCACGATAGATGTACTGATCACACTGCATAGGTTGTGCTCCGTATGCCAGTCGACCAACTTCCTCGCGCAACACGCAAAGGGTAGAAACGAACTAGGACAGGTCAAACTGACTTGACAGCAAAGTACGAATATAAGTACCATGAAAATTAGCTGCGCTTTTCATTGCCGTCTCGGTGAACGGGGACCTTGAGACGAGACACATCGACAAGTAGAGACATTGTCAGGCGTGGCCCAGTCATGTCATCAATGGCGCTCCTGCACCTAAGCTATTGCATTCAGCGCAGAGCTCCCTTTGAAAAAGCCCCACTTAAAAATCCATCGACAACTCCGTATTTTCGCATCAATTTTGTCAGCTTCCGCCTTCGATGCGCAGCTAGGATGACCGCTCAGCTGTGGCACCCTTTCGGGGCCTAGCTACCACGTCACCCGGAGGAAGCACGGGGGCTGGGATAACGCCAGGTTACCCAAGCTTAGACAGGAGAAGTCAAAAAGCAGAGGTCGGGTTCACACCACGGACCTTCAGGTCAGCCACCGTCAACCATGAATTGCACATACACAAATAAACTCATGCCACATCGGCCGTCGCGTGGTGCCATCAGCCGGGTCGCCTTACTTGCTGCATACAGCAGGGCGGGTAAGCGAAAACAGGCTACTGCTGACG